GCACACAACCATGCCCGCGGACTTTTTAAAACTTTTTTAGAGATGGGGTCCTCCCTGGCCAGGTGCATGGCTCACGCCTGTAATCCAGTACTTTGGAGGCCAAGGCAGGGAGACCACTTGAGGCTAGGCGTTGGAGACAAGCCTGGCCAACATGCAGAAACCCAAAAAAAAAAAAAAAAAATAGAAATCATCCCATCTTCACAAAAAAAGTCTCTAATAAAGTTAGAGCTTAGGAAACTTTAGCCATAGGAAAACAACATTAAGTAACATTATCCAGTATACAGTCCACATGCAAATAGGCCCAGCTGTCCTTAAAATCTCCTTGATGGCTATTTTAGGTTTTTTTTTTAAAAACTTAAGAACCACTGTAACCATTTTACTATCTGTATATATCCTATAACATCATGTTGTAATCCCCAAATACAAACAGCAAAATTTATTTTTAAAAAAGAAATCAATCAGGGTTTATGAATTACATTTGGCATGATTAGTTGTAAGCTATAACCTTATCAGAGGCTTTCTTTGTGAGGGTGGGACAATATCTGTTCTTTTTCATTTATTTTGGGCGCCTTCTGGGATTTGTTGGACTTTGGTTTGCCCCTAGAGATTCCTTTTCCTCAGAACTAGTGGCTTTCCTATGAATATTTTTGTATGAACAGTTACCACCCCTCGTCAGTAAATCTTATGGGACTTGGCTGTTCTATTGAGTGACTTTCTCAATTCCTTTCTCCCTTGGGAAGGTGTGAGAGTGGGGCTCACTGACTTGAAAATTTTCATTTTCTTGCGCCACCACGCCTGGCTAATTTTGTGTTTTTAGCAGAGACGGGGTTTCTGCATGTTGGCCAGGCTGGTCTCAAACGCCTAGCCTCAAGTGGTCTCCCTGCCTTGGCCTCCCAAAGTACTGGGATTACAGGCGTGAGCCACTGCACCTGGCCAGGGAGACCCCATCTCTACAAAAAAACAAGTTCTAAACGGTCAGCCAGAGAGCTACAGGCGCTTCCGTGTCGCTTCGATGCTTGTCTACGTTGCTCAACGCAGGCTGAGACAGAGGCCCACTTGAGCCCGGCGCGCTCAGGACGACAGAGCGCAGTGACCTACGTTAGTGCCTGTACTCTAGTCTGGCAACGAAGTGAAACTGCTCAAAAAAAAAAAAAAATTAGTTTGTGTTAACGAAATGTTGCTTAAGCGCAGGTGGGGTGGCTCACCCTCGTACTTCTGGGCAGGGAGTGGACGCGCATCTGAAAGATACGGACTAATCGAGAACCCCAGCCTGACCAACATGGAGAAACCGTCTCTACTAAAACAAAATTACGCCCAGGCCTTTGGTGGCTGCTGTAATCCAGCTTCACCTCGCGCGAGGGCACTGACGGAACCGGAGACATCCTCTTCTGGGAGAGGAGGTCTGCGTATTTCGCCTCGGGCAACAGCACCATCCACTGCTATTTCAACACACACCACAACAAACAACTCCATCGCTCATATGCCGGCTATCTAGCTAGCTCACATCCAGACTCCTGGAAGAGCGACACACAACACGAGGTGGGCAGCATTCCCACGAGGATTTCGAGAGCGCTCCTCGCGCGCCACCTGAACCACATGGAGAAACCCAATCTCTAACTAAAATACAAAAATTTAGCCCAAGGCGGTGGGTGGGGCATTCTAGCTGCTTGGGAGGCTGGACGCCAGGAGAATCGCTTGAAACCGCGGGAGGTGGAGGTTGCGGTGAGCCAAATCACCCAAATTGCGAACTCCAGCTGCAATAAGCAGTGAGACTGTCTCAAAAAAAAAAAAAAAAAAAGTTGTTCCAGCTATTGACTCTATCCTTGCTCTATTGGAATCAGACTTTTCATTTTCTTGCGCCACCACGCCTGGCTAATTTTGTGTTTTTAGCAGAGACGGGGTTTCTCCATGTTGGCCAGGCTTGTCTCAAATGCCTAGGGGTTGGAATCAGACTTTCCTAGAGTGGGCCAGCCATGGTGCACAGGTTGCACTGGTGATTCTAATATTCACTCTGATTGAGAATCGTTGGGCCTTGTAAATTATAAAGTGTCCATTGGCCTAATTTTTTTCTTTTTGAGTTATAATGGTTTCTCGACATTTGCAAAAATAAAGGGAGGGAGGAGTTAAACTTTTTTAATGAATGGAGGAGAAATGCAAAATTTTCTCATGTAGAAACGTCTCTGAGTATAAAATAAATTATTATTTTTCTGATGAAGAGAAAATAAGCGTTATGTTAATTGAGAACCATAAGACAATATAATTGTTATTCTGTTGATTTGATCATTCATATTTCTTTAGCAATTTCTAGAACTGTGTGCCAACCTGTGTTCTGGAACATGAGGTACTATTCTAGATGCTGATTATAATATATATAATTACTGAGCACCTCTTAAATATACATGTAATTTATTTTCACCTTTTTTGTGGTTTTGATTTTGATACTTCCAGGTTCTTCAGATAGATCCTGAAGTTACAGATGAGGAAATAAAAAAGAGGTTTCGGCAGGTACAGTACTATTTCCCTGTTTGAACTTTTTGAAAATGTATGAAGGACATGATTCTTTTACCACTTGCTATTATTGACTTGATATGTTTGGGCCAAAATTTAACTTTTTTTTTAAGGCTGTGTAACCGTTTTGTAAAAAGAGCTCATAATAATATATAAAACCTTAAATTAATGACCATAGCTTACCTATGAATAGAATGAATTTTATATCCAAATAGAATCTCTGCAGCTCCTTAATTAAGAGGGATAAGTATAAAGGAGAATAATAGAGCTTGCATGGAGTTACAACTACCAAACCGTCTGTCTTCTAGGAGGGAACATGTCAAATGATTCATAGCACATTTTTATCTTTAAGACCCCATTCATCTGTAATTTTATCTTTTATTTTTATTCTTATTTTTCAAGACAGAGTCTTGCTCTGTCACCCATGCTAGAGTGTAGTGGCGTGATCTCGGGTCACTGCAACCTCCACCTCCTGGGTTCAAGCGATTCTCCTGCCTCAGCCTCCCAAGTAGCTGGGATTACAAGTGCGTGCCACCACACCCGGCTAATTTTTGTGTTTTTAGTAGAGACAGGGTTTCCCCATGTTGGCCAGGCTGGTCTTGAACTCCTGACCTCAAGTGATCTGCCTGCCTCACGGCAAAATGCTGGGATTACAGGTGTGAGTCACTGCACCCGTCTGTAATTTTATCTTTTGCCAACTTAAATGAATACCCAAGAGTTAACTGGTATAATATAAAGAGTGCTTTTTGAAAGTTATCCAGGAAAGGAGATCTATACCTTCTGATTCTTGCCCCTTCTTATATTTAATAACTGGAACTACAAAGTTTTAAAATAAACTTAAAAAAAACCCTTCCAGTTTTGACAGCTGAGTAACCCTCCCCCAGCCTTTTTTTCTTAAAATTATTATTATTATTATTTGAGACATGGTCTCACTCTGTCACCTAGGCTGGAGTGCAGTGGTGTGATCTAGGCTTACTGCAACTTCTGCCTCCTGAGTTCAAGCAATCCTCCCTCCTCAACCTCCCCAGTAGCTGGGACTACAGGTGTGCATCACCATGCCCAGCTAATTTTTGTGTTTTTTGTAGAGACAGAGTTTCGCCCTCTTGCCCAGGCTGGTCTCAATTCTGGGCTCAAGCGATCCGCTGGCCTCGGCCTCTCAAAGTGCCGTGATTACAGGTATGAGCCACCGCACCTGGCTGCCTTTTTTTCTATGAGTTTAGTAATCATAGTCCCTATAATTTGTCTTTGCAAATTGGATTTTCTGTATATTCCATGTCTTCTTAAAAAACTTTCCTTAGCTTCTTTTTTTTTTTTTTTTGAGACGGAGTCTCGCTCTGTCGCCCAGGCTGGAGTGCTGTGGCTGGATCTCAGCTCACTGCAAGCTCCGCCTCCCGGGTTCACGCCATTCTCCTGCCTCAGCCTCCCGAGTAGCTGGGACTACAGGCGCCCGCCACCTCGCCCGGCTAGTTTTTTGTATTTTTTTTAGTAGAGACGGGGTTTCACCGTGTTAGCCAGGATGGTCTCGATCTCCTGACCTCGTGATCCGCCCGTCTCGGCCTCCCAAAGTGCTGGGATTACAGGCTTGAGACACCGCGCCCGGCCCCTTAGCTTCTTTATATTCTTATGTACTTCATATTTTAATAGGGTCTGACCAGAGCTGAATGTAATTTTCAGCTTCTGCGTGAGATACTTGTTAATATCCAGTGGTGTGCTTGTTTCTTTAGTACAGTAATTTTCCCCATATTGCTGACTCATAGTCATTTTCTGATCTGCAGTTAAGCCAAGATGTTTTTTATCTTGGTCTACGTAATCATAACCCGTTATATAACTTTATAGCTTTTTTTCCTTCCTAAGCTCTCTACTCTATACTTATATTTAGCTTTTTTCCTTTTTCTAAAATTTCAAATTTTCTAATATAATCATTACTAATGATTCCCATATTAGTAAGCATTTAAGTTCACAGTCAAAACAACTTTTTATGTAGCTACATAAAGAACTTAATAAGAGTTAAGAACTCTTAATAAATCATTAATATGGACTGATAGTTAAGAGTGTGCATATTGGAGCTATATAACTAGTTTAAATCTTTACTGTACCACTTAACAAGCAGTGTAAACTTGAGCAAGTTACATTCAACCTTTCCGTGTCTGTTACCCCGTTTGTAAAATGTAATTATGGTGTCTATCCCATGAGTTTGTTGTAAGGATTTAAATGATGTATTACACAGAAGGCATTTAGAGTAAGTCTTGGTACGTAATGTATCCTCACTATATGCTAACTATTGTCAGCGTGTGTTAGCCTGCTAATTTCTTTACTTGCATGGTTTGTTTCATTCTTATAACAGCCCAATTAGATATAGGTACCTAGTATTATCTCATTTACAGAGCAGGAAGCTGAGGTAGAGATAGGTTAAGTGAGTTGCTCGAGGTTTCATAGCTAGTAGGTGATTGAAGTTGGAATTAGAACCCAGCATAATGGTTCCAGTAATGCTGAACGTAGCGTTAGATTCCCATTGTTGTCATTCCCCAACATAGGTCCCTGGGTTCCAACTAGTTGGTTTCTGTCAGTGACAGTATGTCATGGTTTTTAACTGTGAGTATCTGAATTACCTATGGAAGTTCTTTTTTTTTTTTAGCTGGTTTATTATAAAAATTTTATATAGAAAAAAGAATGGACTAGCACAGTGGCTCATGCCTGTAATCCTGGCACTTTGGGACGTTGAGGCGGGCAGATTGCTTGAGCTCAGGAGTTCGTGACCAGCGTGGGCAATATGGTGAAACCCCGTCTCTACAAAAAACCGGAAACAACAACAACAAAAACCAAAAATTAGCCGGGCATGATGATGCGTGCCTGTAGTCCCAGCTACTCGGAAGGCTGAGGTGGGAGGATCACTTGAGTCCAGGAGACTGAGGCTGCAGTGAGCTGGGATAGCACCATTGCACTCCAGCCTGGATGATAGAGCAAAACTCTGTCTCAAAAAAAAAAAAAAAAAAAAGAATGGAACAATGAATATTCATATATCCACCATCTATATTGAATAATTAATTTCATTAAAATACATGTAGTATTTATTTATTTATTTATTTATTGAGACAGAGTCTGGCTCTGTCACCCAGGTTGCAGTACAGTGTTGTGATCTCGGCTCACTGCAGCCTTCACCTCCCGAGGTCAAGTGATTCTCCTGCCTCAGCCTCCTGAGTAGCTGGTATTATAGATGTGTGCCACCGTGACTGCCTAATTTTTGTATTTTTAGTAGAGACGGGGTTTCACCGTGTTGGCCAGGCTGGTCTTGAACTCCTGACCTCAAGTGATCTGCCAGCCTCAGCCTCCCAAAGTGCTGGGATTACAGGTGGGAGCCACCACTCCTGGCTGACATTGACTATATATTTAACTATATATTTTTGGCTGGATTATTGTAAAGTAAATTGCAATAAACCATGAGGCTTTACCCCTAAATACTTCAGCACGTACCCTTCCCAAATAAAGGACATTTTCTTGCATAGCCACTTATCCCACCTAACAAAATAAGGGCTAATTCCCTCCGATCATCTGAAACCCAGTCTAATAGAGGTTTACAAAGTGCAGATGCCAAAGACTGACTCAGAAGGTCTGAGTGTGGAAATTAGAATGCTGTTTTTTTTTCAGAACCTTCACAGGGTTGGAACACAGCCAGAATGAGAAACTGCTTTAGATTAGAAGTTCTTTTAGGAGAGAGATGATGTCTCATACCTACTTTAGCCACCTTAGTGCTCAGTACAGGTTGAGTATCCTTTATCTGAAATGCTTGAGACTAGAAGTATTTCAGATTTCAATTTTTTTCAGATTTTGGAATATTTGCAGAATGCATAATGGTCGAGCATCCCTAATCCGAAAATTCAAAATGTTCCAATGAGCGTTTCCTTGGAGCATCATGTCAGCACTCAAAAAGTTTCAGATTTTTGAGCATTTTGGATTTTGAGTGCTCAACCTGCATAAGGAACATAATAGGAACTTGATACTTTTCAGTCTCCCTCCTCCCCCAAATTATTACAACATCTTCATAGTGCTAGGCTTCCATTTGTTTTTGTTTTTTTTCCTGGAGACAGGGTCTCACTTTGTTGCCCAGGCTGGAGCGCAGTGGCACAATCTCAACCTCCCAGGCTCAAGTGATTCTCCCACATTAGCCTCTAAATAGCTGGGACTACAGGCGACCACAACCAGTCTGACTAATTAAAAAAAATTTTTTTTTGTAGAGGTAGCGTCTTGCTATGTTGCTCAGACTGGTCTCGAAGTCCTGGACTTAAGTAATCCTCTCACCTCAGCCTCCCAAAGTGGTGGGATGACAGGCGTGAGCCTCTGTGCCTGGCACGTTTGTTCTCAACTTTGTGATTAAAACCGGAGATGTTTCCTAGTTGTACCTTTACCTTTTGGTGCTTGAATTTTGTTAAAGATCAATATTTCTGGGCATTTAAAGAGATTTGTTAATTTTTTAAAATGCTTCTTGCTAAGAGTCTCTTTTTGCCATAGGACCTCAGAGCTTTTGGTTGTAATGAGACAGGGCAGGCTGAAAGTTAGTAAATGTTTCTCTTATTGACAACCCCAACTTTTCTCTTATTGTAGTTATCCATCTTGGTGCATCCTGACAAAAATCAAGATGATGCTGACAGAGCACAAAAGGCTTTTGAAGGTATTTGTAAATTTACCTGCTTCTGAGTATTAGATTGTGAATGGCAGGGCCTAACTATTCCTTGTCCTAGATCAAGCAGAGACTGTTGTAATTTTGTCTTCTGGTCACCAAGAAGCTGTGGTTTTCAGTAGAGCAGTTGCCATTTCAAAGCAGAATGTTTTGTTTAAGAAGTAAACCTTAACTTTGCTTTGTTAAAACTTTTATATGCCAACAAAGACTGTTATTGCCTAGGATCATTTTTTTTCTTTGAACATAAAGAATTTTATCACTGAATTAAATCCAGATGTGGTGCCTTGAGTATATATTTAATTTTTTCCAAGGCTCTCAAGGAAAGTCATTGCTATAGTTGAATGTTTTTTTTTTTAATTAGTTTAACAATAGTAAATAATTAAAGTAGGGAATGCTTTAGACAGCACAAGTCCATTTACACTGCCTGAGTATAGTTCAGACTTTCAGAGGGTGTTTGCAGAAACAGTTAATTTCAATGTTTTGCATTAGCTGTGGACAAAGCTTACAAGTTGCTACTGGATCAGGAGCAAAAGAAGAGGGCCCTGGATGTAATTCAGGCAGGAAAAGAATACGTGGAACACACTGTAAGTATTTATAGTGCTGCTGTGTTTACAGGAAGTATCAGCAAGCCTTGGGCACCTTGTAGGAGGGTACATATTAACATAGTAATGCCTACTGGCACAACTTGTGGATGCTTATGTGCTCTCCACCACTTTGCTGTGGTGGTCATGAATAGTGTGTGCCTGAAGCTGTAATTCACCCCTAAGAGAAGAACTCAGATGAGGAGTAGCTAGGACACTGCTCCTACCTGTTTCTCTGCCAGTCCTGTGTTGGGGAGAAAGGGTCGTTCTCTCCCTCTCATTGCATATTGCCACTTACTCCATTCTTAGAGTAGAAATATGGAGCAGCCTGTGACCCTTGACTCTTGATTTTTATTCTTGTCCCTGGTGAAGGGTTTGGAACAAGGCTTGTCTAAGGCTAGCAAGAGGATAGGGGTAAACTTTTTTTAAAATATGAGGAGGTTTATGCCCATCTTAATAACAGAGTTGGGAAGAACTCAATTGAAGGAAACTGAGTTGTAGCTGGTGTTATTTTTGTTTGCTCTTGAGGGCCTACATAAATCTCCCATGTGATGGGAAATGTCAGTATGGCTTTCCTGAGGTAAGAAACGTCTTTTAACTTTTTACTTGCTGGGGCAAGAATCTTGAGGCCATTTATAAGAGCTGTTTCAATTGTGATTGGATATGACTTTTCACATGAAGAGCTTTGAAATGTGAAACCGAACTTTATAACCATAGTAATGAATCCAGTTTAGGTGAGGAAAATGGATAAGAAGAGGAGACAAAGGGCCCATAACTACGTCCTGTTGGTCATGTGTTGGAAATGGCACTTGTAGGCCCTATCCTTGTAGAAATAGGAAAAGTGCCTGACAGTTTCTCCTTAAATCATTGTGGTAGTTACCCTTCCTATATCTTTTACCTGTAAGAATGTCATCCTTAGGCTTCCTGACCACAGGGTGGCAGTAGGGCCTTTCTGAGCTTAGAGGGCACTTGGCTTTTGCTGGTATAATAGACTGGTATAATAGTTCATGGAGTAGTGTCATTCTTGTATGAATGGGTATATTTAATTTTTTTTTTTTTTTAATCTCAGTAGTGACCAAAGTGATAAAAGTATCAGTTAATATGATGTGTGGTTTAGGGAGGTTCCATGGTGAAAATGATCAAGAATGTAGTTATAGAAATGCCAGAAAAACTACTTGGACATAATGCCACAAATTCTGTAGCTTCTTCTAAAACTTGACAAATATATTTTCTTTGCTCTAAACACATAACCACAAGCCAAGAAAGGTAAATTAGTAGTCTGTTTATTTCATCAAAAACGTTTTGGATCTGATGAGTTGGGGACAACCTCCCGTTGGTCCCCTTTCATCTTTCGTTCTTCCTGGTAGATTGGATTTTAGATGAGATTAGAAAACGGACTTGTGGTTCCTAATTGTCCTTGATTCCATTGTTCTTTTGAGGAGGGAGGGGAGGGGCTCATTTTTTTTTTAATGGAAACTTTTTGCTATACCTGTGCCTACAGAAAGTTACATATATTGTATGTGTACAGCTCAGTGGATATTCTCAAAGCACAGGTGCTCGTCTTTTGATGAAAAAAAATTCTTTTTAGGTGAAAGAGCGAAAAAAACAGTTAAAGAAGGAAGGAAAACCTACAATTGTAGAGGAGGATGATCCTGAACTGGTGAGTTAAATATGGGAAACGCCACTGTATCTTGTGTGACTGAGTCTACGAATTGGTGAGTTACAGAGACAGAAGCCAAAAGAATGATGACTATATGCTATTTCACATTTATTTATTTATTTATTTATTTATTATTTTTGAGACTGAGTTTTACTCTTGTTGCCAGGCTGGAGTGCAATGGCGCAATCTCAGCTCACTGCAACCTCTGCCTCCCAGGTTCAAGCAATTCTCCTGTTTCAGCCTCTCAAGTACCTAGGATTATAGGTGCATGCCCCCACGCCCGGCTAATTTTTGTATTTTTAGTAGAGACGAGGTTTCATCATATTGGTCAGGCTGATCTCAAACTCCTGACCTCAGGTTATCTGCCCGCCTCTGCCTCCCAAAGTGTTGGGATTACAGGCATGAGCCACCACACCCGGCCTTATTGTTTTATTTTTTATTTTTTGAGATGAACTTTTACTCTTGTTGCCCAGGCTAGAGTGCAATGGTATGATCTCGGCTCACCGAAACCTCTGCCTCCTGGGTTCAAGTGATTCTGCCTCAGCATCCTGAGTAGTTGGGATTACAGGCACGCACCACCACGCCCAACCAATTTTGTATTTTTAGTAGAGACGGGGTTTCTCCATGTTGGTCTCAAACTCCTGACCTCAGGTGATCTGTCCGCCTTGGCCTCCCAAAGTGCTGGGATTACAGATGTGATCTACTGTCCCTAGCTGTCACATATTTTTAATTTTAATTTTAATTAATTAATTAATTAATTTTTTGAGAGGGAGTTACACTCTTGTTGCCCAGGCTGGAGTGCAATGGCGTGATCTCGACTCACCGCAACCTCCGTCTCCTAGGTTCAAGCGATTCTCCTGCCTCAGCCTCCCAAGTAGCTGGGATTACTGGCATGCACCACCATGCCCGGCTAATTTTTAGTAGAGACGGGGTTTCTCCATGTTTTTCAGGCTGGTCTCGAACTCCCGACCTCAGATGATCTGCCTGCCTCGGCTTCCCAAAGTGCTGGGATTACAGGCTACAGGCATGAGCCACCGCGCCCAGCCTCTGGCTAATTTTTTTATATTTTTAGTAGAGATGATACGAACAGCGCAAAAGCCCGGCCTAAGCAAATATACGCAGCATATGTGCGGCCATTTATTGGTCCTTCAAGTAAGTAGTTTCATTATGACCAGTTCCTGCTGCGCCACACATTGATGATAACCCCTCGACA